GTCACCAATAAATTTGAAGGGCATGCAGTTGAGGAAGTAAATCTTACAGAAAGTGCAGCCTCCAGAATTGAACTCATGACCTAAAGCAGTTTTGTCATCCTTCCCAAGTAGTCCAGACAAGAAATGTGACCAGTTGAGTTAATTCTACTTTATTGCAAGGCTACATTAACAGAATCTTGTAAGTCTGAAAGTACAAATCTCTTATCCCAAAGATGCTTTTTCAGGAGGCAACTGGACTTTGTTTTTCTTTGAAGATGTTTCGCTTCTCGTCCAAGAAGCTTCTTCAGCTCTTACTATTATCTCTTATTATTTCTTTTTGTGTCCTGTAAAGTTAGGAAGGACCCTTTCTGAGTTTATTCCTCTGCCTGTTATGCAGGTGTGGGCTCCCATTTCCTTTATCTGATCATTTCCTAGCTATCTCTTCCCCATCCCCAGATCATTCCCACATACTGTTACAAGTTTTGAACTGAAATGAAATCTACACACATGTATGTCCAAATCATTTAGAAATAACACAGTGTATTTTGGCATGGGTAATTTCCACTCAAATATGAATGCTGCATAATAGTTTAAAATTGGTATCCAAATTAATTACTGAAGATAATAATAATAATAATAATAATAATAACAACAACAACAACAACAACAACAACAATAATAATAATAATAATGTTGGAAGGGACCTTGGAGGTCATCTAGTCCAACCCTCTGCTCAGGCAGGAAACCTCATACCATTTCAGACAAATGGCTGTCCAGTCTCTTCTTAAAAACTTCCAGTGTTGGAGCATTCACCATATATATCTATATCTATATATATCTACCATATTGCCATGAATAAACCTGCAGCAGATAATCAGAAATAAAATAATTAGAAAAATGCACAGATAAAGGTAAAGAGGTAGGAACACTTCCCTCATCTGCAAACAATAGTGGGATGAAGTCATTGCAAAGTTTGTGTTCAACCAGATACTGTTTTGTTTTTGTTTTTTTTAGCATAACACTACTGGAGTAAGGGGGGAAAAAGCTCTACATTTCTATCATCCATCAAATTTTTTGAAAACTACAAGCCCTTTGTCTGAAGAATAAAAACTTGGACTTATGACTTCAGCTAATTTCAGCTAATTTTCATTTAGAATATTTGATGCCAAAAATAAAACATTTAAATTGAAACCAGACATTTTTCTTTTAAACCTAGGTATCAAGGGTAAGCCAACTGAAAGAAAACATGAGAGTTTGTTTTTATATATGACAATGGCAGCAAGAGTTTTATATGCACAGCTTTGGAAAGATACACAAATTCTCACAACTGAAGAGTGGATTGTGAAACTAATGGAACTGGCAGAGATGGCAAAATTGAATACTTTGATGAAAGACAACAGTTTTTCTAGGTTTTTTTTTTACTGGGAGACTATGTTGAACCTGTTTGAGTGAGATAACAATGAAGTTTCGGTTTTAGAATTTGATGATTAGATTTGTTATAACTATTAAATTATTGGGAATTTTTTAATATTATTACTAGATATGTATATTTTTTAAGGTTTATGTTTCAACAGCGTAAGTTATTTTTATATATGTAATTTTTGTGTTTGGGGAATTGTTTGGTTTTTATATTGTTTATACAGTGTTTTTATTTGAATTTAGAGCAAGAGGTTATTTTGTTATATATTTGTATCTGTACTGAAACCAGAAGTCTACTCTTTTGAATCTCTTCCCCCCCTTTTCTTCTTGTCGCTTTTTAAGTTTTTCCCTTTGATTCCTTTCTTTTTTCTTTTTTGTATTTTAATTTTCTTTGAAAATCAATAAAGTTGCTTTTTTTAAAAAAAACACCCCAAAATAAAGCATTGAATAAATAGCAACAATATAATCCAATAGCATCACATCAATTTCACCTCCATACAAACAACACAGCAGCTTTGTCATGTCCCAATGACAACTGTGAAGGTCTGTGGGAAGCTGAGTTGTGGAATTCATCTAAGGTAGGAATCCTTTAAATCAGGGCTAGTCAACCTTGGCTCTTTTATGACTCGTGGACTTCAATTCCCAGAATTCCTGAGCCAGCTTAGCTGGCTCAGGAATTCTGGGAATTGAAGTCCACGAGTCATAAAAGAGCCAAGGTTGACTAGCCCTGCTTTAAATCAATGTTTCTCAGCCTTAGGAACTTTAAGCGATCTGGACTTCAACTCCCAGAATTCCCTTACCAATATGCTAAGGAATTCTGGGAGCTGAAGTCCACACATCTTGCCAAAGTTGAGAAACACTGCTTTAAACATTGCAATTTTCTTTATTAGCTATATTAATATCAATTAATATTAATAGATAGTAAGCAAATCATAGAGGCAACAGAGGTCGCCATTTGTTGAAGTTATTGAACCAAGAAATCGATTATACATCCCTGATCAGTTTTATTACACTCTGTGATTGCAAACTCTACAAGACACCAGCATTAAGTGTTTTATTCCACATGACAGAAGACATAAAAGTGAATATCAGGACAGTAGGTATCCAAGGACTTCAATTCAAATGCAGCTGGGTTGGGTGAATAATTCAGTTTCCTGTGAATGCATGTTATTTCATTTTAAAGCAAGCATATTTCTATCTCTCATGGGTGCAAGAACAAATTATACATGTGATCCCCAAGGAAATATTAGAAATTTGGCATGGAATTAGAAATTAGAATTAGGAAGGGGAAAATGATTTTGTGGGCTTATTTAAATCCTTATCTTTTGATGTAGCTAATGGAATCAGAAAAAATGAAGCATTAGAGGCACATTTATTTGCATAAATCAATGCAGAATGTAGAACAGCATATTACTAGTACAGCAGTAGTAGAAAATATGCCTCTTTAAGTAAAATAGAATGAGAGTAGGATGTGACACAAAGGCCATCTAACCCACTCCCATTGCTGGGGGGGAGGGGTCATCAACAGAAAACTCTCATTTTCAATACAGAAAGCATCAAGTGAGAAAAACCTTTGACTGTCAGTCAGAATAGAGAAAAATCTATGACAGAGGAAAGTGGCTTGACCCTGTTGTGAAAATATCTGGCCTTTTCCTTGAAATGCTCAGTTGGTTATTGATTTATTATTGTTGTTTTTAAAAAAAAGACATATCTCAAAGTCTTTTAACTTAAGTAAATGTACCGTAAGTAAAATTATGAAGATGAAATTCAGCTTTAGTTACTTCCCCAGAAACAAATGAGCTCTGTCTTTTAATCGTTTGGCTAATGGGCCCCCAAACCATTGGAATAACAACTGATGGCTGATCAAACTGACGTAATATTCACGTTCAAAACATTTGAGAAAACAGCAGACATATTAGGCATAAGCATATAGGCTACTGAGTCGGCTTTGGTTGATCTTCTCTCATTATTCTTCCAGCCTGCCTCACAGCAACTGTTTGTATTATTTTATTTATTAAATTTATAAGCCACCCATCTCGCTATCCAAAACAACTTTGGGCGGCTGTTTCTAGCTACTGTCCGGGTGACCAAATAGGAAGGAAGCTAAAGACTGTTGACTTGACAATATCACCTGAATATGTTAGGAAGCTGCCATCAAATATTGGTTTTGTAGCTCAGCAGCAGAGTGGGGGAGGGTCTCTGAGGCCCGAATCTTCTAACCCTCTCTGAAGATATTAGGAGATTGTACCTGGAAGCCTATGCTCCCAGCTAAATGAACACAGCTTCCTAATGAACAATCTATTTCATTATTGAGTTTTCTCAGGGGGAAAAAAAGGACTTTTTCGCTACAGAGACTTTTCTTAAAGGGAGGGTTAGGACTGAAACAAATGCCACCCATATAACTCAGAGGAGTTACATCATTTCAAATACATAGAATCATAAGGCTGGAAGGGACCTTGAAGATCTTCTAGTTTAAACCCCTGCCCAAGGCAGGCGTCCTCGGCTTACAACAGTACTTTTAATAAGCATTCAGAGTTACAACTTCAAAAAGTGACTTATGACCATTTTTCACACTTACAACCATTGCCGAATCCCCACGGTCACATGATCAAAATTCAGATGCTTGGCAACTGGTTCATATTCATGATGGTTGCAGTGTCTCGGGATCATGTGATCCCATTTTGCGACCTTCTGACAACCAAAGCCAGTTTCAATTAACAGCTGTATTATTAACCTAACAACTGCAGTGATTTACTTACCAACTTTGGTTTTGAAAGGTCTTCAAATGGGGCACAAATCACTTAACAAATGCTTTGCTTAGCAACTGAACTTTGGAGTTCAATTGTGGTTGTAAGCTGAGGACTATCTGTAGCATCTTATACATAGCTGTGAGTTATCTGGCTTTTTTGAGATTAATGCTGTTACTCAGAAATCTAGATTTCAAGAAATGAGGCAACCCTGGCTTCTGTCTCCCTCCTTTCTAACCCCTCCCCCTTTCTTTCTTTATTATGCCTGAATTCTCTGGTATTTGCTATAGGGAGAAGGACTCCCTAGGCTGAAATCCTATGATCGCTTACTTGGAGTTAAGACTCCGCAGAATTACCTCTGAACTGTCATGCGTAACATCAGGATGTCCATGAAACAAAAAGCAGGAGGTCAGGAAGAAAGAAGTGGAGGAGAAGACAACAGATGAAGTCAATGGCAGCTAATTTCTGGATTCAGGAATAATTAGGAATTATTAGGAGAATTTCCAGGTTGCAGTCTGGAAACTTAATGGTTCTTCTTTTTCTTTTTCTTTTTCTTTCTTTCTTTCTTTCTTTCTTTCTTTCTTTCTTTCTTTCTTTCTTTCTTTCTTTCTTTCTTTCTTTCTTTTCCTCCTCCTCCTCCTCCTCCTCCTCCTCCTTCATGACTGGAAACTTGTTCTTGTATTTATAAATGGAATTATTCCATGAAGTATGATGAATGCAGACCCCATGCTTATACTGGTAAGAAAAGAAATCCTCGCAGTGCTTCTTAAATTCTTAATACCATGAAACAAATGATAGCTACTATTGTCTGACCACTCTGTGGGCAGTGGAATTTTCTGCTTGCAGGTGTGGTGTTTAATCTTTTCCACCAGAACCAGCACCACATGAAGACTGTTTAGAAATAGCTAAGCCAACTCGGTCATTATCTCGGTCAAAGACTGAGTAGTATCGTCGGAGGAAAACATCTCCCAGGATCCAGAGTGGTCCTGTGGGTTTGGGGATGTCGAGGATCATGAATCCACTGATGCAAGCAGTCACTTTTGCTTGGGTCACCTGTGGAAGAAAGAAGACACCTGGATGATGGGCTTATGAACTTCAAGGTTTCACATTTTCATCACTGCAGATCTTTCCCCTCAGGATAACAAGGGCCCTTGCTGATCCATGACAGCTGAAGAAGACAGGAACTCATAGATTTTTCCTCTCCTCAACTTCTTGCACAATTCATAATCAAAGATGCCATCAACTGAACGTTCAACTTTATGGGGACATGGCCACATCCAGTGAGGTCCCAATGACAACCTTTGATCCCTTAAACATGATTGGGGTCTAATCCTACTGGAGGGTGCCAGACTGGGGTATGCTGGGGTAATTATGCTGGGGTAATTATTTCTTGGAAACATGTATTTGTCCTGATTTCCAGCTATTCATTTATATGTTGCTCGAGAACAACAACAAAACTGCATATTACTGAAAGTCTCCCTTGCCTACCCACCCCCAAAAACAGGTAAATAAAGTTTCCCCAGGATGATCCAGTGATATTTTATTATTTTAATCTAGACTCTGGATTGGAAGGATTTACAGGAAATGTGAACTGCTTATGAGCACTTGTCCCTTTTGTGAAGCCTTCAAAGTAACTTCAAATGTTGTCACCAAAATTTGATGGAATTGTTTTCCATTTCGTCTTATATTTTATATCATTAAACCTCCCCATTTTTTTTAAAAAAAATGGCCAAGTTGGGTGGAGAGAATCCCTAATGACATCATGTTGTATTTTCTGGTTTCATTGATTTTTTTAATTTGTAAAATGAAATATGGTCTCTGGAGGAACAAATCTTCTGCCCTAGATCTTATAGAACCTTCCTTTCAGTATTCATGATATTATGAGGAGATCAGGATTCCACTGGTTCCAGATTTCCATAGGGTGCAGTAAAAAAAAAAATCAAGATGGGGTCTGTGACAGTGGGATTGATTTTATGTGTGTTGGGCCACTATCTTGACATTTTTCTTCATACTTTGTGGACACCTTGGCTTCAAAATATGCTCAGCCAACACTGCTATATTTGGGGACCTCCAGTTGAGTAGGATCTTAATCTTCTGCCCTGGTCATGATCTGGTTCCATCATCAAGACATTCTAATCCAGGGAACTGCATCACAATTTCAATCTTAAAATCTTGGGAAAATTCTTCACTTACTGGAGGCTCACTCCTAGGTAGTACCAGCAAAATGGTAACTATGCACTTTCACCTTAACAACAAAGTAGCATACGAAGCCTCAAAGCTCTACTTAAACAACTTACTCCCCTATAATCCTATAATCCAATGTTACTCCAAGTTGGTCCAAACTCTCTCCTGTAAAATACACCTGGAGAATATAATGGCAAAATAACATATTCCAGAAATTATGTGGAACTAAATGGGGAATTTCAGCTGCCACCCTCAGGACATCAGCACTAGGGTTGGTATACTCTGGAGCTGAAAACAGCTACTTAATATTACTTAAGAGCCTTGGTGGCGCAGTGGTTAGAATGCAATACTGCAGGCTGCTTTTGCTGACTGCTGGCTGCCTGCAGTTCAGCAGTTCAATTCTGACCAGCTCAATGTTGACTCGGCCTTCCATGCTTCCAAGGTCAATACAATGAGGACCCAGATTGTTGGGGGCAAAATGCTGACTCTGTAAACCACTTAGAGAGGGCTGTAAAGCACTGCGAAGCGGTATTGAAGTCTATGTGCTATTGCTATTGCTAACAGCTGCCATACTAGTAAATCAGATACCAGACTCAACGACATTATAAGTGAATGTGTTAAAATCACTCCAAATAGCTAGCATCCTGATCTAAGCGATATAGCACCACCAGCTTTACGAAGGCAAGGTGCAGTAGTGAGACAATACAGACAAAATAATGAGCAACTCATTCCTATCAATAGTGTTGCAGCCGGAAACTTCAAATCCAGGAAGCCCCCATTGGCACTTATACAACATCTGCCCAACAACTTTAACATCGATTCCCAATGGAAAGCTAAGTGGGCTGCTGAACGCCCAAACCTAGGAAAGCATATAAATGACCCCACAAAAAAGGGGCAGCCTTTGAACTAGCATGTCAGCAATGGACAATCCTGAATAGGATTCTCACCTCACATGGTGTCTGCTGGGACTCTCTGTATAAATGGGGCACAGTATCCTCCCCTCAGTGGAACTGTGTGTCCCACGTCAAACTGTACATCTCATTGTTCAATCACACGGCGATTAATATTTATTTGTGTTTATATGTAAAGTGTACACATACACGCATACACACACAATCTGCAAATTATTCTAAAAATTTGAATCCCAGGTATATTCATTTGTAAAAAGGTATACTAAAACACTGATCTCCGGGACAAAAAAGTTTTATTAAAATACTAAGCTTTCATTAGCAACTGCTATCGTTTGACAATGCTAGTGGAGATCAGTGTTTTAGTATATCATAGTGGTATTTGAACATAGACTTTTTTAACATTTATATTTTATTGTGATTTATTAATCTAGGTCAGGGGTAGGCAACCTTGGCTCTTTTATGATTCGTGGACTTCAACTCTCAGGAATTCTGGGAGTTAAAGTCCACGAGTCATGAAAGAGCCAAGGTTGCCTGCCTCTGATCTAGGTGTAATGTTAATATATATTTCTAATTCATGTATGCTATGCTATATTCTAAATAAATAAATAATAAATTTTCAGTGTAAATTGAATTAAGCCTCGCATTGGGAGAAGAAAAACAAACACAAGAAGATGTGTTTTTCCGGCTGTCTATTAAGACGCCCACCCCCACCCCCCATTTTCCCGCGTGCCTCTTATTGGCTTAGCTCACCTGAAGAGTGTATTCTTTGGGGGTCAGGGTGTAGGGTCTGCCATCAAGATGAAAGGTGACACTGGGCATCTCAGATAATTTCTGGCAATCTACTATGTACTGGGAGAAGGAAAGGGAGATTGGCATGAAGAAAAAGAAAAGGTTTGATATCACTCTCACAAAAGTGCTGGGTTTTTCTCTCTCTCTCTGTCTCTCTCTCCTGGGCCAATTGCTTGCTGATTCCCATCACACACGCTGCCTGAGACAGGTGGGGAAAAACTGTCACAGTGCAGCCTGAGCTGCTGTTGAACATGACAACCTTAGTTTCTTAGTTTTTCTCTTCCCTGTCAAGTCCGGCAAAATGCAGCATGTGACATAATGCCATCGTGCAGTGACTTTGCTGCCGGCAGGAGAAGGAACATCCAAAAGCAATGCCTTCAGGCCACTGAGCCCATTTCAATGCCCCTTGCAGACCTCAAGGAAATTCTTCTAAAAGGGAATCCTGCATGGTGTCTTGTCCACAATGAGCGTGTTTGTCGGAAATCGGAAGTATACAACCAGTTTCCAGCAAAAAAAGTCATAAATCGCAGTCATGTGACCTTGGGCTGCTGCAAATGCAGGCTGGTTGCCAAGCACCCGAAATGCAATCAAATGACTGTGGGAGACGTGGGCAATCACCCAAAGTTCGAATCCGGGTCAAAAGTATCTTGTACCATCGTAACTATGAACGGTTGCTAAACAACTATTCATAAGACGAGGACTACCTGTATAAAGTCTTTAAATCCCATTTCAACATTTTTTTTCCAATATTTTTTTCTATGTCTGCAATCACAAATCTCCTCCATCATTTCATCTTGAAGAGTGCAAAGTTTTAGCTTTGCAAACCTTCTACTCAAGCTTGAGTACTGAAAATAGAGACAAGCAATACTATATTGATGGCATTGGAGCTTCATGGAGGAGGGGAAGGAAGACCCATACAGGTGTACCTTGGTACTCAACTGCTTTGAAACTCATCAACTTGGACGATCGAATTGGACAATCATTTAATTATGAGCCAGCAGTGTGCGACAGCAGCCAAAAAAACTAATACAACCCTTGGTTGTATAAACAGAGGCATAGAATCAAAATCACATGGAGTATTAGTACCACTTTATGAAACCTTAGGAAGGCCACACCTGGAATACTACATCCAGTTTTGGTCACCACATTACAAAAAAGATGTTGAGACTTTGGAAAAAGTGCATAGAAGAGCAACTAAGACGATCGAAGGCCTGGAGATTAAAACATATGAAGAACAGTTGTAGGATTTGGGTATGGCCAGTCTAGAGAAAAGAAGGACTAGGTGGGACATGATAGCAGTATTCCAGTATTTGAGGGGCTGCCACAAAGGGTCAACTTATTTTCCAAAGCACCAGAAGGCAAGACAAGAAACAATGGATGGAAGCTAATCAAGGAGAGAAGCAACCTGGAATTAAGGAGAAACATCCTAACAGTGAGAACAATTAACCAGTGGAACAGCTTGCCTTCAGAAGTTGTGGGTGCTTCATCACTGGAAGTTTTTAAGAAAAGACTGGATAGCCATTTGTGTGAAATTGTACAGGGTCTCCTGCTTGAGCAGGGGGTTGGACTAGAAGACCTCCAAGGTCCAGCTCTGTTTTGAATTGAATTGAATTGAATTGAAATGGTACTCAAAGTATTTTGACGTGAAAATTTTGTCCTAGTACTCATTGTTTGTTTGATACTCAATGCACAAACTAGAACTTGTCAGTAACAGCTGCCTTGTGACCCATTGCATTATTCCTTATGGGAAAATTTTATTTGATACTTATTGTTTTTGGTACTCCCAGAACCAATTAATGATGAGTACCAAGGCACCACTGTAGAAGGAAAGAGACAGTGAACACCCACACACACATTCCCTCCCCCAGGATTCCTAACAGCACCACTTTAAGGAGTAACATTTGACTAATATTAGACTACACAGATGTATTTGCAGACCCATTAAGTTTGAATAAAAGCTGAGTTTGGCTTCAGCCCCTGAAAATGGGGCTTGCTGTGATTGTTCTGTTCTGTGTCATGTTTCTTGATTGTTCTAGAATGAGGAGGAATGTCAGTCTGCCATTGGCAGATCAGCTGCAAAGCAAAAATGCAAAGTCTGCGATGGGCAAATGTGCTACTCTTGGGCCTCAGGGGGGAGCTTTCCATCCATCTGACTTTCAATTTTTAAATATTCTTTTAATGAAATTATATAAACCAGGGGCAGACATACTGCGAAGCAAAACGCCTGCCTCTAGAACCGTGTTTCTCAATTATGTCAACTTTAAGATGTGTGGACTTCATCTCGCAGAATTCCCCAGCCACCATGGCTGGCTGGGGAATTCTGGGAGCTGAAGTCCACACAACGTACAGTTGCCAAGGCTGAGAAACACTGCTAGCATCATCATTATTTCCAAGAAACCTTTTGGGCAATAGTTGGGGCATCATTTGCCAGCATGCTGTTCCAAAATGAGCTGGGAAATAAGGTTTTGGATCTCTAAAAAAGGGTGGCCAGAGCAGAGCCCTCTGCAATATGCCATTTAGGGAATAGACAAGATGCAGCAACTATTTTGAGACATTGTCCATAGGTACTTATTGGTCCCCAAAAGCTGCCTATGGTAGTAAAATAATGAAATCAAGGCTAGGGTTATCAGATCTGGGTTGCAAATATTTGAAAGACCACCAGGTCACAGTGATTGAGACACCCACTTGCTCCTGTCTAGTGGTCATCTGGGATTTTGCAGCCCAGATGTGGTTGTTCTAGGAACAATCTCTTCCTTACCTGTCCACCAAAAGCATGTTGAGCACCAATAGCTTCGTTCAGAGCCTTTATGTCCGTGCTTGGCCCCGTAATGAGAGAGGTCCCAGTGTCCACAATGCCTTGGCAACCGTCCTTGCAGATGGTGGATGAATTGGTTTTTTCAAGCACGTTCCATGGCCAACATGCCTTCTCCTTGGGTTGTTTTTGTTTCTCTATGGTTATCCTAAACAGAGTGTTTGGGAAAGGACAGGGATTTGAAACTTGATTAAGATTGGGGGAGAAGGCTCAGTGGGAGGCAAGAGAAAGTGTCAGAACATTAGAGGCGGAGAGGCTACACAATTTGGAGAGTTTGCACTCAGCAATTTCTTCCAGACTAAGGTCCAGTTCTCTTGCCATAGCAGAGGAAGTGGAGGGACCGAATCTGTACAGATAATCTTTGACTTACAGCCTCAATTGGGATTTTAGTCGTTATGTGAATTGCACCTCATTTTACAGCCTTTTTGCTACAGTCGTTAAGCAAATCACTATGGTTGTTAAGCAATATTGAGTTTGTTGGAAGCCCTCTGAAAAGGTCACATATATGAGCCAGAAGTGTGCTGGCAGCTGCCAAAAAAGCCAACACAGTTCTAGGCTGCATTAACAGAGAGATGGAATCAGTGGTGGGATTCAAATATGTGAACAACCTGTTCTCTGTGTGGATGCCATTTCCGGAAGTTCATTCTGGGCCTGGGCAACAAAAAATTAGCTACCGGTTCTGCTGAACTGGTGGGAACCGGCTGAATCCCACCACTGGATAAAATCAAAATCATGTGAAGTGTTAATACCACTTTTTTAATGCCTTAGTAAGGCCACACTTGGAATACTGCATCCAGTTTTGGTTACCACGATGTTAAAAAAACGTTGAGAGTCTAGAAGGAGTACAGAGAAGAGCAACAAAGATGATCAGGGGATTGGAGTCTAAAACATATTAGGAACAGTTGCTGGAATTGGGTATGTCTAGTTTAATGAAGAGAAGGACTAGGGGTGACATGATAGCAGTGTTCCAATATCTCAGGAGCTGCCACAAAGAAGAGGGAGTCAAGCAATGGATGGAAACTAACCAAAAAGAGAAGCAACCTAGAACTAAGGAGAAATTTCCTGACAGTGAGAACAATTAACCAGTGGAACAACTTGCCTCCAGACATTGTGGATGCTCCAATACTGGAAGTTTTTAAGAAGAGACTGGACAGCCATTTGTCTGAAATGGTATAGGGTTTCCTACCTGAGCAGGGGGTTGGACTAGAAGACCTCCAAGATCCCTTCCAGCTCTGTTATTCTAATTCTATTCTATTCTGTTCGGTTCTGTATCATATGACTCTGGGATGCTACAACCTTTGTAAATACATGATGGTTGCAAAGTGCCCTTAGTTTGATCATGCAAGTCCAGAGACGCTGCAACAGTTGTAATGGTGAGGACTAGTTGCACATCACTTTTTTCAGTGTCATTATAACCTTGAATGGTTGTTAAATGAATGGTCATAGTCCTTGGAGTATCTGTATTTGGACTGTGTCACTTTCAGAGTCTGCTGGGAACCTTGTCTGACTGTCTGCTGTTTTATTCCAAAACCAACCACTGCTTTCATCCTGCATAGATCAGTGTGTTAGGGAAGAGGGTGTAGCCTCATCTTCTTGTTGATGTGGTAAATTTTCATGCCCTGGAATCACATCGGATTAGCCCTCAGCTAAATCCAAATGTAAATTGGCCACATTATCTGCAGTTCATAGAATCAAAGGAGCTTTTAAAGCATAGAGCTGGGTCATTGCAAACTGACCTTTTTTAAATTTAAAATGTGATTGTTCAAATTAAGCAATTAGCATAAACATGGGGTGAGCCAGCCCAGAAAGATCAATGGCAGCAACTTCCTTTCATTAACACCGTTAATATTTGGGGAGAAGGAACAGAGGACAGGACTGGTGGTTGGGGAGACAAAAATAACTCTGCCCAGTGCAGGTCAGATGATTGACAACCCTGGCCTCTGTTAGTAAGGATGACCAAAGCATTTTAGAAGAAAACAGTATATCAGGTGAGGTGTAACAGAGAAAGTGAAAGAGTGTCTGTCTTTTCTACAGATGGGCTACAAAAGAATCAGTTTGATCCAGCGATTAAGGCACCAGGTTAAAAACCAGGAGACTGTGAGTTCTAGTCTCATCTTAGGCAAGCAAACTGGCTGAGCGACGGTGCCAGTGACTTTCCCTCTTAGCCCCACCAACCTCACAGGATTTTGTTGTGGGGAAAATAGGAGGAGGAAAGAGTATTATGCATGTCTGTTGCCTTGAGTTACTTTTAAAGAATTAAAAGTGGGATGCAAATCTAATAAATAATGGTTTCTACACAGAGTCCCTAATGAATCTCTTATACATCTGCTCCAGCTGAAATAGGGCTTGTGCTAAGGCAGGATGTACAGTCCTGGATAAAATTTTCTCTTTCACCCATCATCTTGACACTTTCACCCAACCTTGGTGTCCTTCAGGAAGGTGAAAGGTTACCCAGAATTCTAAGCGGCAGTACAGGATTTATGGAATTCAGTCCATACATTTGAGGGCGATTAGGCTGGGGAAAGGTGCTCTACCTAGTCTGCCTTTTTCTATGCTTCCGTTATCAATCTGGTGCTTTTGGATTACAATACCCATCTCCCCAGATTGACCAGGCAGTCCACCAGATCTGGTGAGAACACTAGGTGGGGAAAACTGTGCTTAGTGATCAGAGAACACAGCTGGAGGGACTGCTTGCTCCTTTCTGATGCCTTTAAGCTCTGGCAGGAATATCATGTAGGACAAAGAAAAGAAGAAAATAGCACAATAAAAAGGATCGCAGACCTGAATGTCTTTTTTTTAAATACTACAGCATTGCCCTCTAGTGTTGAGGAGTGTCATTGCAAGCAGCTAAACTCAACTGGCACCAATAATTATGTATTTACAGGTAGTCCTTAAATTACAACCGTTTGTTTAGCGACTGTTCGAAGTTACAGTGGCATTGACAAAAGTGACTTATGACTGGTTCTGATATTTATGACCGTTGCAACATCTCCATGATTAAAACCTGATTAAAATTTTGGCACTTGACAGTCACATGATTAAAATTTGGGCACTTGACAAACAGCATGTATTTATGATGATTGCAGCGTCCTGGGATTCTAGGATTGTCATCTGCAACTTTCCTAGGAAGTTTGTGACAAGCAAAGTCAATGGGGAAAACCAGATTCGCTTAAAAACCATATTTTACTTAACTGCAGTGATTCACTTAACAACCGAATCAGCAAAAAAGGCCATAAAATGGGAAGACACTCCCTCAACAACTGTCTTGCTTAGCAATGGAAATGTTGGCCTCAGTTGTGATCGTAAGTTGAGGACCACCTCTCATTTTCTCCAAGCAGATGTCCTCTGAGGTGTTTAGGTGTGTACGTTAGTCCACAAAATAATAATTTCTCACATGTGTGGCAATCCAGTAGGGCAGGGGTCTTCAAACTTGGCCCTTTTGTGACTTATGGACTTCAACTCCCAGAATTCATCAGCCAGGCATGCCTGGCTGAGGAATTCTGGGAGTTGAAGTCCACAAGTCACAAAAGGGCCAAGTTTGAAGACCCCTGCAGTAGGGGGAATCTAAAGACGTACTTACTTGTCCATCTTGATCTGCCAGTAGGCTTTGCGGGACACTGGGATGTAGTGAAGCTTTCCCACATAGGCGTTGTGATTGATGCCTCCGAAAATAACTTCACCTCCATTTTCTTCTGGTGAGGTCTTGTTGGTGCTAAGAGAAAGGTTGCAAAAGTTTTTTTTTTTAAAAAAAGCTGTCTTAAGCCCCAGTGTCATTTACTGCAAGAAAGTTCCCTTTTCCAAGATGGCCAAAGGTCTTGAGATTTTAATGGCTGCAGAAAGGACCAATTATGGTACACGGAGCAGGTTAACTTATCTCAACTCTTTTCCTGATTGTGTGATAAGCTGCACCCAATTTTAAGTGTGTCTAGTGTCTAGGGGATAGGAATAGAAATCAGGACAATACTGAAACATTTTGGAAAATTAAAAGCCCAATTCAGCAATTTCCTTTCCTGGTTTTTGTTTGTTTACCCTTACTAAGGCTTTACCTCAGGGTGTCAAACTCACAACGTCACGTGACGTGTCACAACATATCACGACTTTTTTTCCATTACCAGCAATAGGGTGGGCACAGTTTGACTATGATGCGTCCGGCCTGTGGGTCGGCAGTTTGACACCTCTGCTTTACGTGCCTGTGCTAGTTCTATCATGGCTATCCAGCCACCCACCCCACTTCCAATATTCCATTCCTCTATTCCAATGTTTTTCTAAGTTGGGCACTTTAAGCCTGCTGCCTGAGGAATTCTGGGGACCACATCTTAAAGTGACTTCAGTTTGAAAAACACTGCTCTTCTCCATTAATAGTCTCTAGTTAGCACCACTGTACCTGAGCTGCACAAATTCACACAGCCACTAGATGGTGGTAAAGAGGCAATTCTTTACTTGAGCATAGTGAAGAAAAAAAAATCCAGTGAGAGTGTCATTTCTTTCTCCACAAAGTCAACTATCCCATTAGCTGAAAAGAGGGAAGGGAAGCATTAATCCTACCCTCCCTGCATTCTTTGACAGTTCCAAAGGAAATTGCCTTCCAGCTTAAAAAATAAAGTTTAAAAACGGCAAAAAAGTACTAACCATTTGATCAAATTATTTAATCAAAGTAACCTTTAGCAAAGGTTGGTAGCATGCTTAATTTTGCCACCAGAAATCAGAGAAGTAACAGGAGTTCACAAAGATTAGTTCCTGTCTTGAACACTCTTTCTTCCATAAAAAAAACAGAGGAATATCCTCCATAGCTATTGTCAGAAGAATAATTTGGGGTTTCAAATGGGGCTGGGGTAGCGCAAGAATAAATAAAAATGAAATCCAAAGAGCTGTGAGGAAAGGAAAAATATTTATTCCCCAAAGCAAAAAGTTTGCCTTTAGGGGCAGCTGCAGAGAAAATGGGTTCAGAGACATTGTTTCATAGGGGAGCTTGTCCTGGATGTGGAAGTGTGTGCGTGCTGATTCTAGGGTAACTCTTGAGGGGTGTGGGCATGTGTGGGTGCTGACCCCAGAGAAGGGGTTGACTAAATCAAATGATGTGGGTTGGGTCTGAACCTGAGCATTTGTCAGGTTCAGACCCTGAGCATTATAATTTGAACCTGAGCATTATAATTATGTTTACATTGTGTTAATAGAGTTTTGTGTGTTTGCTTGTATGTGTTTACAAAGTGAAATAAGTGTTTAATTCTTATGTTTGCCTAAGTTTAAAGAATTTTGGAGGCTATAAATCAGTAACTTTGTGGAGATCTGAGTCAGTTAATATATATTCCCTATGCAATATTTCTAACGCATTATAGCATTTATAAATTATTCCCACACTATTCAGGACAACATTATTGATTCTTATTTGATAGATTTCAAAATTAAGTCCAGATGTTGCACACAGCCCTGGATCAATACCATCATGTGTGATGACAAGAAGTATAACGACCAGGTTGCATAACAAGCCAAAACAGGTGCCTGTTGAACTGGCATTGCTCCTATTTCTGAGAAAGCTTGGTTTTGTTATACTACAAGGAAAGTTTGTTTTATTTCTTTATGTCTAATTTTTACCTTACTCTTTTTTCACATCATAAACTTCAAATTCTAGAGCAGTGTTTCTCAATTTTGGCAACTTTAAGATGTGTGGACTTCAACTCCCAGAACTGAACCTTTAGCTACTTTAAGATGTGTGGACTTCAAGTCCCAGAATTCCCCAGTGAGCATGCTGGCTGGGGAATTCTGGGGCTTGAAGTCCAGATATCTTAAAATAGCCAAGATTTAGAAACACTGTTCTAAGGCTCCCAATAAGGCGCTTATTGAATCCTGATAAGAGTGAGAGCTACTTATCTTCATTTCAGTGTGATATCTGGGGGCAAAAAGCAGAACAGAAATCATACAGGGAGGAGTCAACCGGGCCACAAAAGGAGAAAAAGAGGTTCTCAGCAAACAAAGTGTAGTCTACAAGGACAATCTGACAGGAGGGGAAAGTCACAGGAATAAATGGAAATGCAGAGTTTGAAAAACTTATAAAAAGTGTGGAGTTGTGAATGCAAAGAGAGCACCTTGGCCTGTGAATCTAAAACCTGGGCTGGACAAATGGAGTCTGGAAGAGACGGCAAGGAAAATGCAAAGAAAATGGTTAGGTAGTGAAACAACCTGAGTCAATAAAAAGGAATCAGAGATTGAGTAATTAGTAATCAGATCAATACTTGCTTGGGCGAGCCAAAAATGAGTGGACCCTGAACTTGTGGGAAAACACTAGAAAGAAAGAAAAAATCAAGTATGTGTAGTCCTTGACTTATGACCGCAGTTGGGACCAGAATTTCCATTGCAATTGTTAAATTGCACCTGAATTTACGACCTTTTTTGCCATGATTAAGTGAATCACTGCAGTTGTTAAGTGGATCATGCAGTCATTAAGTGAATCCAGCGACAACCCCCCCCCCATTATCTTTGCTCATCAAAGCCAGCTGGGAAAGCCACAGGGGGTGATCACACGAGCCTTGGACAGGGGGTAGGCAACCTTGGCTCTTTTATGACTCGTGGACTTCAACTCCCAGAATTCCTGAGCCAGCATAGCTCTCAGGAATTCTGGGAGTTGAAGTCCACGAGTCATAAAAGAGCCAAGGTTGCCTACCCCTGACCTGGGATGCTGCAACTGTTATAAATATATGCCAGTTGACGCAATGGTTATAAATTGAAGGACTGGGAGTAAGTCGCTTTTCTCGGTGCTATTGTAATTTTGAAAAGTTGCTAAATGAATGGTGGAAAGTCTACCTGTAATCAGAAATATTACTCTCTGTTCTGCCAGAAGAGTCAAAAGGTCTACACAGGACCTCAAAACTGCATTGCCCAAACAACAGGTAATAAAATGGGGAGAGCTTTGACTGTAGTGGCAGCAGTTTTTGATCCCTGTCCCTGGAGTTCATCCCTGCTGTGGACCCACCGCCAGGGAGGTGGAGCAGGGAGGAAATCAACCTGATGGGCCAGTTGGAGAGAAAGAGGACTCAGCCCAAGAGACATGAGGAGCCGTCCTCCAGAGCAGATGGCTGAGAGAGTGGCTGCTGGAACAATATTTTCTTGCTTGGACTACAATTCCCACTATAGGTAGCCCTTAACTTATTCAAAGTTATATGAGAGATTTCCCCCCCCCCCCCAAAAAAAAGATATTTACAACCTGGCTCTGAAGTTCCAAGTCACATGGCCATACGTTAGGTGCTCAGCAACTGGCTAGCATTTATGGCCACTTGCAAAATCCTGCATTTTACGACATTTTTGCTGAAAACCGACTTCTGGCCCATAATGAACAATGGGTTCGCTTTATAACTGATATGTTCGCTTTATGACCACAGCATTTGCTTTACCACCACCACATTCATTTAATGACCACTGCAAAAAAAGATCATTAAAAACAGGCCTGTTGACATGATGGCCTGTTTTACAACCATTATGACTTACAATTGTAATGGGCAGGCTCCATTACTGTCATAAGCTGAGGACTACCTGATAATTGTGTACTGTAAGGTGTTTTGAAATCTTGAATTGCTCTTGGTGAGTCATTTGGAAGCAGACTATTAAATCAATTACAAAACAAACTCTATCCTCCTGGATAGTTGTGATAGGTGGTGTATTCCCACACATCTGGAAGATACTAAGTCAGAAGCTTGATCTTTATCTTTATGCAGGAAGGAAGGAGGGAAGGGAGGGAGGGAAGGGAGATGGGAGGGGAAGGGGAGAGGAGAATAAGGTGCGAGGGAAGGAAAGGAGTGAGGGAGGGAGGAAAGAAGGGAAGAAGGGATGAAGGAAAGAAGTAAGATGGGAGGGGAAGAAGGGACGGAAGGGGAGAGGAGGGGAAGGTGGGAGGGAGGGAAGGAACGAAGGAAGGAAGATGGGAGGGGGGGAGGGAGAGGAAGAGGGATACAGAACCAGTTCTGAGCTACTAGTTTGATGTGACTTTAAATCTATCTTTTCAATCAGTCATTTTACACCCTACTGAACTAAGGCTGACATTGTTCAGAAAGAGCAGAGAATGTTTCCTGTAGCACAAGACTATATAGGTTGGATGCCAATTGCTGAAGATAAGGAAGGGACACCCCCCTCCCCAACTTTCATAAAAAATGAATCCCAGGGGATGGGGCTTTGGACAATATCAGTGAGGAGGTGATGTCGATAGCAGAGAGGTCCATACTTGCAAAGATGGAATGAGAAGACATTGTTTTTCAGAAGTTTCGCCTTCATCATGTTATCAAAGGGTGGGGTGATGTTGTTTACTGAGATGGAGGGATAACCCAGTCCCATGATACCGTCAAATTTGGCAGCCACAAAAACCAAGCCTGGCAAATCGGTAGCCTCAGCAAAGGTCTGGTTCTTAACGGTGACGTTGCCAATCTGAAGAGAAAGAAAATACACAGCATTTTGTCTTCTGTTTCAGCTATCAACGGGTGAATATGAGGTATGGACAAGTGCAATGAAAACCGCCTTATTTTTATGTGCATCATATGATCAGTTAATCCAGCTATATGATTTATCAAAGTTTCCTGCAATGTATACAGTATAAAAATGGGCAAAGTCTCAATCAAGCCTTCATAACCACCATCTTGACTTTATCACATCTGGTAGACATCCTAACCTTTTTTTACATACAGATAATTTTATTATTATTTAAGTATCATCAATCTGATCCTCCACTAATCAGGAGTTATGGTTTTCAGTGTTTTAAAAAATGAGCAGGGATATCCATACGGGGTAGTCAAAAAGTCAAGATGGCAGAGATGATGTGAGATTGAAAAACAGGTGGTGCTATTGTGGCTGCCATCTTGATTTTTTGACCACACCTTCTTATGGTTCCCCCAAAATGATGCCGGAGTCCACATTTTGGCCAAACACCAGTGTCTCGCAATAGCTGATATCTTAAGGATGCGTGAATCTGTAGCCTGATTATTTTTATTTAGAGTAATGAAAAAAACCTGCAAACATTTCAAAGCTGCTTCTTTGTCCTGATCACAATACGCCTTCAATAAAAATTAAAGGTTGTCTAGGAATTGAAGAGAAACCACTTCTTTCTATCTTAAATCGCATATTGCAGACATGAGACTTGGCGTGGGAAAGAGAATATAAGATAAATGGTATAGAAATCTCATTCAGAAGAAAACTGAATTTTATCTTGAGGAAAAGAAAATATGCTCTTGTATTTTCTTCTTAACCCCTCCCCTCCAACATTAAGCCAACTTCTTTCTGAGAACCAGATTCTGTCAACTTCCTGTACTCACCCTGAGAACATCCTGGCTTACGAATCCCTTAAGGCTACCGCTTCCATAATGAATTTCAAATTTGCTTTTATCGTCCTTGTGGGTGCAGGAAAACAGGGAATGGTAATGTTTGTGTACCCCTGATGGAAAAAAAAACCCCCAAACAGTTAATTGTGTACAGAGAACAGATTGGGCCAGGACTTCCCTTCCCTCCCTGTTAAGCCTACTTTATGGCTTATACCACTGATGTTTCCCAACATACAATGTATAATATATTGGCAAAACATAAGAGTACAGGTAGTTGTGGTATGGTCACAATTTTTTTTCCAAAAAATAACCCAGTCAACTTGGATGCAAAAGATTTTATTTGCATAGAACTTTCCCCTAACTGGGTTATTTTTTGAAAAAAAATTGTGACCATACCACAACTATCTGTAGTACTCAACTGGGCAAGCAGTTACATAGTGAGGTGGATAGTATGCTCCTATCAACCTGAGGGCTCCCAAAATTATACATTCAGTATAATTACATTTTTTCCTAGAGATCTTGATGAAGGTTGTAATTGTTATGGGCCACAACCAGGCCATCCATACCTAACCTTGCCTGTCCTACCAGGGAGAACCCTGATGGGAGAAATGAAGCCCACACCGTGACACTAGTTTCCTTCCTTGGGTCTCAGTTTTGACACAAGGTCAGGTCCATCCATGATCAAATCAAATCATGGATGGTTCTGCTCTGATTTTAAGCTGACCTATCTTTCCAGGAGAGAAAAGCATTCCACTCCAAATCTTCCCTGGTGTTGGGGTCATACATTACTTTGGCTTCTTTGATTTAATGTTGCATGTGAACCAAGCCAAATTTTCCCATGATGAAACTGCTCTCTTACCACTAAGTTGACAACTGGGGAGAATTTGTCTAACCAAGTAATCCTTCTATTTCTCCAAGAGAGGAATGGATTACTGCAACAATGGTTATATCTCTAATTTTCTCTACTACTGGTTCATTCTACTCTCATGTCAGTTTGTGATTTTAAGAAAAGCCTGCGTAACATTTTGGATGCATTAGCATGCACGTTTCTCTTGAGCAACCCCTCCCCATGCATCTCCACTCTATTCTCGAGAATCAATGGAGGGTTTTATGTCTTACAGCATGCCAAATGTATCAGGCAACATTTGGAAGAAGGCACCCACAGGTTGGATGAGCCAGTATCAAAGACGACGTTGAAGCATTGTTTAGGGGTTCCAAGACAGATTTGCCCATAGTATTGTGCCTGGGGTATAGCAAGAAAAGAAGGGGGAAAAAAGGTCAGCATTTTTGTAATGACTTGAGTCAACATCTTTATCTATTTGTTTATCATTTTTAAATAGAGATGATCAATATGGTGTTGAAACAGGATTGGGGGATCCAAGTTCAGATCCTTGTTTGGTGACTTTGGAGTAGACATTCTCTCTGAGCCCAGCCTATCTCACAGGGTTGTTCCCTCTCCCATCATTGCCATGGAGGCTACTTTGATTGTCTAATGTAGCATCACTCAACCTTGGCAACTTCCAGATGTGTGGACTTTAACTGGATGAAGTCTGTATGTGCTAGTTGAGGCATCCTGGGAGTTGAAGTCCACACATCTTAAAATTGTCAAGGGTGAGAAACACTGGTCTAGAGAAAAAAAACCAAATAAAAATGTAATTGGAAATTAAGTAAATACACCAATAACAAACTCATTCTGAATGCCAATCTTTTTGTATCCAACATGGCACTCGCCAAAGGCAAAAGAGAGATATATCACCAGACACAGAAAAACTGACATTTGCAAAAGAATTCAAGTACTTCAGAAACATTAATCTTAAAGAAGAGGAAAAGGAGAAGAACAGCAAATGAGGAACAAGCACGCTCAGTAATTACACGACAAGGTCAACTGAAAAAAAAATCCATCAGCATGAGGAGGAGGAGGAGAAGAAATAAATACAGAATTCTTGAAGAGGACAGAGCAGAACTGGCTCTCCCATACAGCAACATTTAATTGACAGATTTTCAGATATTGGTCTTTTGTTTTTCAGGTGGCATCCAAAATGGGAATTAAAGGTTTTTATTTGAGTTTGCTTGATTGAGAGGACGGAATATTAAGGTTATGTAGAAGTTATCTGGAACCAAGGATTTACCCTCTTTCTAACAGTAGACATCCTTGAATCCAGCCTCATTATAGCAGGGGAAGTGGTTTTCCTTGGAGGGAATGTATGCCAAGTGTATTCTTCCATTAAGGTCACCTAAGGTCACCCCGACTACCCAGCTAAAGAGAGTAGACACCTAAATTCAGTAACAGTGATACAGGAAGATGCTGGAGATGACTGATCACCTTAACCACAACAGGAAAGGCAGGCATCATTTTAAGCTGTGTTGGAGAAGGCAATGGTCAGCCACTTCTGCATTTTAATAGGAAAAACCACATGGATAAATAAGATAAAGTGACTCAAGACATAATGTCTGGATGATGAACACCCCAGGTCAAATTGTACCTGACATACTAGTGAGGATGTTTCTGAGCACTACTTATGTTTACAATAGGGTTAGATTAGAAGTGGCCTTCTAGATGTTTAGTTGCTGATGTTGTCATGCAGGAAAAGAAAATCTGAAGCTACAAAGAAGAACTGACAGTGGGAACACGGCATGTAAGAATCATGAAGACGGAAAAGCTTAATACAGTGATATGAAATTAATTGCATATAAATAACATATTAGGCATCAGTAAATTGAAATGGATTGAAGAACCAGAAGATCATACTATTAACTATTCAGGACATGAAAAGCAAGGAAGGAATGCCTTTGCTTTCATAGAAAGGAATAGTCCTCAAATTACGACTGAAGAGGGGGCCTGACTTTTGGAATCTCAAATCTGGATTGGAAGTACCTGTCAGAGTCTGTCAGAGCTTTGAATGTCATTAAGTGACTGGTTGTAAGTAGAGGACTACCTGTACTTGGGAACAACATAACCAGTAATCAACCAGTAAATTTAATAGGATATCATGGAGAATGCTTTGATATTATGATTATCTAAGTTCATGCTCCAATCACTGAGACAGAAGAAGAAGAAGAAGAAGAAGAAGAAGAAGAAGAAGAAGAAGAAGAAGAAGAAGAAGAAGAAGAAGAAGAAGAAGAAGAAGAAGAAGAAGAAGAAGAAGAAGAAGAAGAAGAAGAAGAAGAAGAAGAAGAAGACGACGACAAGTGTAATGGTTTAATTTGAAATTTATAGATAGAACATGCAAACTAGATGTGCTAATTGTGATTGGAAGCTGCAGATATAGGAAAGAAAACACAGTTGGTTTGTATAGTCTAGGAAACAGAAATTAAGCAGGAAATTGACTTATCTCTGTCTGTCAATCCTATAATGTCTTCATTGCTAGCACAGTCTTCATACAACCAATATTGTGCAAATTCCAAATCAAATACAATAGAAAAGCAAAGCCATCCAGTTTCCATAACATAATCTTGAACATATCCCTACCCTTTAAGGAGAACATTTGAAATCCTGAACCTCATTGATCAAGTAGCCCCACAGTCATGTGATCACCTTTGCACTAAGAGATTATTCTACTAAGCATCTTTCCCCCCTATTTCCACAAATTTATATGGCAGCTGGTAGCATTCTTTTTGAAACTCAAATACTTTGGCCACCTCATGAGAAGGAAGGACTCACTGGAGAAGAGCCTAATGCTGGGAAAGATTGAGGGCAATAGAAGGGGACGACAAAGAATGAGGTGGCTGACTGGAGTCACTGAAGCAGTAGGCGTGAACTTAAATGGACTCCAGAAGATGGTAGAGGACAGGAAGGCCTGAAGGAACGTTGTCCATGGGGTCGTGATGGGTTGGACACAACCTTGCAACAACAACAAATAATTTCAAGCGGTCACCTAATAAATGGTTGTAAGTTGTGGACTACCTGTATTTAAAATGAGAGAGAGAAACATTAATACTTGTGCTATGTTAACAATGGTACCCTTAGGTAAATGTGGAAAGGATCTAAAAGGTCTAATAATAGAAGTCAATGAATGCAGTGAAAAAAATGGGACTAAACTAAATATAAAAACAGTCAAGCTAATGAAGGCCAGTTGTACGATTGACAATGTTGCTGTTGATATGCTGGATGGTTTCTGCTTTTCACCACTGAGCTAGCAATAGAAAAGTAACCCCCAAGAAATATTTCACAGGCTAGCATTTGTTAGGGTAGCAATGAAGGCTTGGAAAATATATTCATTCTGTATGCAGGGGTGTATTTATACTTACAAAAATCAGAATTGTGCTGACAAGGATTTTCTCTGTGACATGGAAATTAAAGTTGGACGCAGGGCTTTTTTTGTCATAAAACGCCCAGAACGGAGTTCCGGCACCTTTTTTTTTTTTTTTTTTTTACAAAAAAAGCACTGGATGTAGGATATAAATATTATTGATTCTTTGGAACTTTGATATTGGAGAAGATACCTGAGAATACCATGAACAGGAAGAAAACAAAGAATCCAAATTTTTCACTCAAGGCACAAATGATTGAGGCTCAAGTTGTATTTTGGACACATTAGGCAAAGACCTAGTTCTCATGAGAAGCCTTCCACCAGAAGTGGAAGAAAAAAGACAAAGGGTGACCAGGAGCAAGGAGGATAGTCTCAGTTACAACGGGACTAGGTGCACCATTAGCAGATCTATATAAGTAGTGGTTAAGAATGAGGATTAGGGTTAGCATTCAGAATAGATACTTTACGGGCAGTAAAGCACGTCCGGCCATTGTAAAATATCTCCTCCCTACTGTGGTCCTGGATTTTGAGTGCTTAGCAGCTGACTCACCTTTGCAACCAATTGCAGCACCCCATGGTCACATGACCATGTTTGCCACATTTTTTGCCAGGGCTCACTTCACTTCACTTAACTGTGGTGATTTGCTTGAAGACCACCACAGATGATGTCAAAAAAATGGGTCTGGTCACGTGGGTGCAATGACTTATGACTGGCTCTACCTGTAAGATGCCTTTGTTTAACCTAGCAACACTTACATTTGGTTAATGAGCTGGTTTATACAGTACATCACACAACATTACTATTTGTTGAAGTGTCATCCACTGAAATATTATAAGGGGCAACAACAAGCTAAGACATGAACTGTGATTTACTAAAAAAAATGACTGAATTCACACAACACACCTAACCAAAATAAAAAAAATCACTTTGTGTAGTATTTGCCCATCTGACCAGACTATAATTATTAAAATTTCAGAGTGTGCAGAAATGGATAGACTAACATTAGAAATGAAAGAAAAAGATGATTCAATTTATTTTAGAACTTGGGAAAAATTTTATCAATGGTTAAAGACACGTTAGAACTTGAAGGATTCAATATTTTAGAATAGACAACTGATTTTTAATCGAGTTCTAACTAACATTTTGATGATATGATTATTTTTCCTGATTTCCTGATTTTCATTTGTTACTTTTGATTGTTAGGATTTTCTTGAGATTTTATTAGTACTGTTTACTTAATAGATCAACATATTTGTTTACTAATTGTTTTTAATATGTTATAGTCTACGTTTTGGTAAAAATGGTTGAATATGATATTTACTCATTATTATGATCCGGACGGTAGCTTGTTTGTTGAAATATGCGATTGTACCTATCCTTATTTTACCCTAATTCCTTATTCCCTTCCCCTTCCCCTTTCCTTCCACCCCTCCCTTTACCAAACCTGTATTGTTCCTATTTTTCCTCATCTATATAAACTTAATAAAATTTTGTTTAAAAAAAATCACTTTGTGGCTTATCTCTATGGCTTGAACAAAGGCACAGTCCTTGAGACTCTATCCAGCAGCTAAGTTTCCATCGCTCATAGACCCATCCATTTATCTGGTGGATTTGTAACTTTGCTTTTCCTCCAGAAGCTCATGGTAGTTTACATAGGGTCTTTCTTCAATTTATCCCACAACAATAGCCCCATAGAGTAGGTTGGGCTGAAAGAGATTAACTTTCCATAGTTGAGGATGGGCTTGAATCTCCTCAAACTTATCCACTGATTTGACCCCCAGGTTTCGCATTTTGGCATCATACTACTTGGGTGCAGAGGCCCTTCATTTACCACTGCAATACTCTGAACTTTAACCATAAGCTTATGCCCTCTGTTAAGGAAACATACATCCATGTAGTTGTGGAGACGCTGGTGGGTGACAGAAGCAGTAGCTGGTGGCTTTCCAGTCCTTAATCCACCTCGCCTTAATACTTCAGCAATGGGAAGCCCTGACTGGCCAAACCGGTTTCGGACAGATGGGAATTTCTGCAAAGGGATCCTGCCAGGGAAAAGAAAGCAGATAGGAGGGGAGTTAAAAGTACTGGAGGATGTAATATCCTTGCCATCAGTCACCACCGTTATAATGAGTCAGTGGGCCTGGTGCTTGACAGAAATCTAGGACAGAAATCAAAAATACAGATCCTAGTAGGTTCAGGTGACTTCCCAGAGCTCTCAAGATTAGGCACATCCAAAGTTATGGGGTTTTTCCACATGGAGTTTGGATTTAAGGCACCCCTTGTACCCCTTAGCATTCTTCCTCACTTAAAATTGCATTATTTGCAGTCTCTCTCTCCCCCCCTACCGCCAAAATGCAGTCCTCTGGATGATGAAAGGTGTACAGACCTGGTCGAGGATATACAATCTACTAACTAAAATTATTTTATTCAGTCAAATGGTCCTACAGGGCAGGATTTATTGAAAAACCCATAATTAGTCAGATTTACACTATTACAGCTATGAAAAATGAAATAACGTTCTGGTTTGGGATGAAGTAAGTTCAAGCAATATATGCTTTCTTGTAGTGTATGCTGTTCTGACAGATGTTAAAGATACAAGAATAATATTTCAAAAGTAAAACAGACAAATCAATCTGTAGAGTTTATTATTTTCTTGGATTGGGATTTTAAATAATTGAATTTGAGTTATAAATTTCTTGTCCATTTGGCATTACTGTGTTTAGAACTCTGTAGGATTAGCTTGGCATTTTTCATCCAACATTCCTCAATCCTCTCTCACCTACCCACATAAGGGAATATTATCCACTAAGGTTGAGAGATCCTTACACATATAGTAAGAGATGTTTTTAATTAACACTGATACTTGGGCATCACCTACCTGTAGGCAGCAACAAGGCTGGGCAGATGAACTAATTGTAGCTACCTAGCACCTCTAATCAGTGCTGAGTTAGTCATAGACTGGTGTGCGCCAACACCAGGTTGAAACTGGGGTTGGCACCTTTGAGGAATGAAACTGTGGTGTCTTCTCCATAACTTCATGGGAGGAGCCAAACACTAGCCAATCTCTTATTTTGTATCAGACATATCTGAATTTTAGGGAGGAATATGAGACAGAACTAGTGGGTGCAAGTGGGTTATTCTGGAAGAATTGGGTCGTGTTATCAACTGGATAGTACTTATCTCTTCAACACACAGGAAAGTGTGCTAAACTGGTACCCTCCGCTCTGCTCATATGTGTTACCAAGAACTGGTTGGCAGATCTAGAAAGCTACCTCACCATATGTCTACAACACCCAGGAATTGCAGATCTCATAAATAATTGATTCTTATTACGAGGGCAATTTGGAAATAAACCTCTGTTTGGTTATCAATGACAGACACTGGCAGATACAGAACTTTTATTATACACATTAGAAAACTACAACATTACATTACTTTGCGACATAATCACCATTCAAATTGAGGCACTTGTCATAACATCTTACAAGATTTGAAACTCTTTAGTAGTAGTCGCTCGGCACCAAATCTGGGCTATAGGGCGAGGGGGTGTGTGTGATAAAAAACATTCCAACAGAACTGCTTCAAAAGTTCTTGGGTGCATCTAGCGGTGTGCGGGTGAGCATTATCGTGAACCAACACCACACCAGAAGTGGTGCCATAGAAAATCTCGCCAAATGTGAAGATGCCAAAGGAGAATGGCTAGTGAAGTTCATGGAGCGTGATTCAACCATCAATTCAGATGTCTACTGTGAAATGTTATGAAAACTCAGATGAGCCATTCAGAACAACTGTTGGGGGATGTTGACTTCCAATGGTGTTGGTTCACAATAATGCTTGCCCGTACACCGTTAGACGCACCCAAGAACTTTTGTAGCAGTTCCATTGGGATGTTTTTGATCAACCCCCCCATAGCCCAGATTTGGTGCCGAGCGACTGCTACTAAGGGATTTCAAACCTTGTAAGATGTTATGACAAGTGCCTCAATTTGAATGGTGATTATGTCGAAAAGTATTGTAATGTTGTAGTTTTCTAATGGGTATAATAAAAGTTCTGTATCTGTGAGTGTCTGTCATTGATAACCAAACGGAGGTTTATTTCCGAATTGCCCTCGTATTTTAAAGCAGGAGGGGGAATCTTGAATCAATGAGTCAGATACATCCCATGCTTAATGCTATCCAGCTCAGGCAAGTTCGTGGAGCTTGTTTTCTAAAAGAGGATCCCCCCCCCCCCCGCAAAAAAGAGGTAGAAAGTACTCCAATTCCAAGAACAAGTCCTTGATATACGACAACAATTGGCCCCAGAGTTTCTGTTATTAAACAAGAGTCATGCCGGATTTTACAGCTTTTTTGCCACAGTTGTTAAGCAAATCACTGCAGTTGTTAAACGAGCCTTGTAGTTGTTACGTGAATGCAGCTTCCCCCCCTTGACTTTGCTTGTCAGAAACCAGCTGGGAAAATTGCAAATGGCTGAAACCATCCTAAATGCATCCCAGTTGTCAAGCGCCCAAATTTTGATCACACAACCATGGGAATGCTGTGAAGGTCATAAGTGGGAGAACCAGTCATAAGTTACTTCTTCACTGCCATTGTTGAAACTAAACAAGGATTGCCTGTACTGTTTAGTTTAGGGGTCTTCAAACTTGGCCCTTTTATGACTTGTGGACTTCAACTCCCAGAATTCCTCAGCCAGGTATGCTGGCTGAGGAATTCTGGGAGTTGAAGTCTACAAGTCATAAAAGGGCCAAGTTTGAAGACTCCTGGTTTAGTTGCTGTATCTAAGCAGCATCCCATATCTTTCCTGTTCCCTGAGAGAAAGAGCAGGTGAGTTTCTTTAGCTTCCTCACATTCCAGGGTTAGTTGTAGGTTGGCTTCACACACTGCACTAAGCCAAAAGATTATTTTTTTGGTTTAGTATGTTGTGTGAACTCTGTCATAGTGGCTAAACCATGGATAGGACAACTACTATTTATGCAGTTATAGGCAGGACTTTTTTTCTCATAGAACGCCCAGAACGGAGTTCCGGTACCTTTTTTGGATGGAACCTTGTAGGGTAGGCAAGGCGGGTTGTATGATGTGTGTGAGTTCCGGCACTTTTTTTTTTTATTTTTTATTTTAGAAAAAAAGCACTGGTTATAGGTATCTTATGGCCTCCAGCACTACATGAAACTATCAGATCTGATTGCAACTTCCAAAGATCTGACTACAACAACTTTTTGGGGTGGGAAATTCACAGGACAAGTATTGTAAACCCTAACATTTAAAATTAAACTTCAAAAGTCTCTCTTGAATTGAGCACATCTTCATGGACGTGTGCGTGAACTTTTCTTGACAACATTCAAAAATGGTTTTGCCTTATTTAGTGATTCCCCCATCTAAATATTAACTTGGTCTGATCTTACTTAGGTTTTTTTTCCCATGGAGCAAAGTGGATTTCCCATTCCTTGTCCATAGGTAAATCCACTCTAATGGGTACTCAGTTAATCATTGTTTAAACATATAGCAATAAAAGTAATCTTCAACTTACAAATATTCATATAATAATGATAATAATAATGATAATAATAATGATAATAATAACAACAACAACTGGAGCACCACTTGAACACTATTGGCACTGACAAATTTGCCATTGGTCAGTTGCAAAAGGCGGCCTTTCTAGGAACTGCTTCCATCCTGCGATGATATCTGTAATACCGTCAAACATCTGCCTATCCCAGGTCCTGGGTAAGGACTCGATAGGTAGACAAAAATGCCAAATCCAGTCTGAACATCTAGCTGACTGTGCGATGATCAATAGTAATAATGTTGGAAGGTACCTTGTAGGTCATCTAGTCCAACCCCCTGCTCAGGCAGGAAACCCTATAGTATACCATTTCAGACAAATAGCTGTCCAGTTTCTTCTTTAAAACTTCCAATGTCGAAGCATTCACAGCTTCTGGAGGCAGGTTGTTCCACTGATTAATTGTTCTAACTGTCAGGAAATTTCTCCTTAGTTCTAGGTTGCTTCTCTCTTTGGTTAGTTTCCATCTGTTGCTTCTTGTCCTGCCTTCAGGTACTTTGGAGAATAGCTTGGCTGAGATATTGGAACACTGCTATCATATCACCCCTCGTCCTTCTCTTCATTAAACTAGACATACCCAATTCCAGCAACCGTTCCTTATATGTTTTAGCCTCCAGTTCTCTGATCATCTTCTCTGTACTCTTTCTAGAGTCTCAACATCTTTTTTACATCATGGTAACCAAAACTGGATGCAGTATTCCAAGTGTGGCCTTACCCAGTGGTGGGATTCAAATATGTGAACAACCGGTTCTCTATGTGGATGCCACTTCCAGAGGTTTATTCTGTTCCTGGGCAACAAAAAGTTAGCTACCGGTTCTCCTGAACTGGTGCGAGCTGGTTGAATCTCACCACTGGCCTTACCAAGGCATTGTAAAGTGGTATTAACACTTCACGTGATCTTGATTCTATCGCTCTATTAATGCAGCCTAGCACTGTTGGCTCTTTTGGCAGCTGCAGCACACTACTGGCTCATATTTAAGTGATTGTCCACTAGGACTCCAAGATCCCTCTCACAGTTACTACTACTGAGCAGGGTACCCCCTATACTATACCTGTCCATTTGGGGTTTTTTGCCTAAATGTAGAACCTTACTTTTTTCACCATTGAATGTCATAGTGACTGTTCAAAGTTACAATGACACTTGAAAAAGTGACACCTGGTCCTCGCATCCCTACAGACACAGGATCAAAATTTGAATGCTTGGCAACCTCTTCTCTTGTCCCTCACCTAACAATGAGACTTGATTGATTTGATTATATGCCATCGAGTTGGTATCAATCATAGGAGAATCTGTGCTCAACTTGGTCCTTCAGGTTTTCCAACAAATAACACCTACCTTACAAGTAACTAATATAATTACATAATAAATTGGTTAATATTTGGGCATCTTTGTTTTCCTCCTGTAACTCAGTGGCCATTAAGAGGGAAAATAATTTTCTACTTCTGTTTTAGTATAACGGTGAGTAGATTTCAAATACTGCGGGTTGGATCTAATGTTTTTGATTAGGTCCCATGTATGAACCAGATGTGGCAGGCAGTTCTATCATACAAATGAGGACAAGCACATCCTTGCGATAATCATCATAAAAACCAAGCTCTGTTCCTGGTATTCCTCAAATGTCCTTAGGGGGCAGAAATTTCTGGGTTTCTATTATTATTATTATTATTGTTGTTGTTGTTGTTGTTACTATTACTATTACTATTATTATTATATAGAGAAATGATTGGGTTTGGTTCTTTTTCATTTTAAGGCAGATATTTCTGGATGTATAGTTTTATGCTCACGACAACCACGAAAATTCTGCATAACATTTGCAAATTGCACTGAGATCTCTGGCTAATACTGATATTCTAGCTTCTATCCACCATAAACACTATGTCAACTAGTCTTTGGGTATCCTATGTATTTGTTTCATTCTAGACAGTTTCTTTGTTTTTAATTAGGTTAAAGAACAAAATATATTTAGCCATTTCCCCACACACAAGTTGATGCTACAATGGATTTCTGTTAATTGTTACTACTCACAGAGCTTTTTTTTTTCTAATTGGTCTAAAAAGTGCACAATTGTCACCAGATTCCCCCCCCCCAAAAAAAACCTCCACTAGTATTTCTCTTTTTATTCCCAATCTCCAGTAGACTATTTTATTGTTGATATCCAAGAGGCTCCAAGCCTGTCCTAAATGGGATAATGAGGCTTTTCAATAACCTTATAATAGCAACACAATGTAAAGATCACATTTATTTACATTATTATTGTAAATAATAATATTATTATTGCTATTAAAAGTTGCAACACCTCTTCTGAGTCAAGATCAACTCTTGTTTATTTTGCAATCACGCTACTGCAGTGTTTTTCATCCTTGGCAATTTTAAACTGTATGGACTTCAATTCCCAGAATTCCTCAGCCTCCATGGTTCACACAACTTACAGCTGCCAAGATTGAGAAACACTGTAGTAATATAATGTTCTTGTCAATAATACAGAAGAGGCCGGCCATGCTTCCAAAGCATTCTTTTCAACTTCTTCATCTAAATTACAGTCATAGGATGTTCTGGAGAAGTCCCATCCAAGTATTGAGCAAGTCCAACCCTGCTTAGCTTTTTGAGTTCAGCTAGGACAGTGTTGTCATGCCATTAAAGCCAATAATGCTGGGGGGGGGGGAAATCACCAAATGACCTTGGAATACTTGGGTTCCCTCCCAGTGAGTATTTTGAACTGC